TTGATCACGGCCGGCTGGTATTGTGCGAGCTGATCCCGGTACAGGGTTCGCAATACATCCAGTTGCCCAATATAGGCATCCTCAGTCATCACAATTTCGTGGAGGATATTTTGTCGGTCAATTTCCTTCTTGGAATGGGTATCGAAGACCTCCTTGCCAACTTTGTAGAAGGTAGCCCAGTCTTCGGCCTTTTTCTCCGGCTCCATAGCTTGCGCCTGGAGATTAACCTTCTTCAGAGTCCGCATACAATGGTGCGAGTAGCAACGACCAACTTCACCTTCCTGCAAATGGAGCCGAGAGGAATAACAGCCTTGGCCGCTGATCTGCCAGAAGACGCCGGATAGTGTCGCAGAACCGAATTTTACCCATTCTTCGTCCTTGATCAAGACCCCTTCTTCCAACATATTGCTCACAACCCGATCTCCTAGGACTTCCGCGTCAATAGTATTCATGGTGGGCACCTTATGCGTAAATAAGGCAACAATAGCATCGATAATTGCTTGCTCCTTCAAGTCGTTCTCATCCTCGCTCAAGTCTTTGACCCATGCAACGATAGCGCTAAGGGCCCAGGGTTCAGTGCATTTACGGAATTGTTCCGAGGACAATTTAGCAGGATTGAACTTCTTGCGTCTTCCGGCTGGAATTGTAGGGAGATCCAGAGTGACGGATGGGGTGGAAATAGCAGAATCGTAAGGAGATTGCCCTTTCATTTTAACCCTATCCGCATCAGTTTTAGACCTAATAATCGGATCAGCGCGCGGGTTGTTCGTATGAGTGGACAGAGAGGTCGATCGTGGAACTGCCGAAGGGGGTTGAACAAACCCTTCTGGAGAGGTAGGGTAGGGAGGTTGTCCGTAGGTACCAAATTGATGACCGGACTGGTCATGCCTGCGATATGTCCCGGCGGGCATAAGGTGTGGAATAAGATTGTTTGCTGCGGCAGGTACCGGTGCAAGGGGCAATGGTCTCGATGACATGCCCGGATGGAAAAATAGATCCTGCGGTTCGCCCTCATCAGTAGTTTCACTGAGTGAAGCTGACTGGGTATTGGAGGTGCTCATAGACCCTTCGTCCCCGTTTTCGAAGCTCAGCCTTCTGTTGGGAGCCGCAGGGTCTGACAAGCCGCCAGTGCCAATACCGTCAACGCGAGCAGCCGAGCCATGAGATGGGAAGGGGTGAATTGAATCCTGATCAATGCTTGGGTAATCATAGCTGTCCGAATATGTTCCCCGGTCTTCCGTCGACCGATCTGAGCTTCGGAGTGAGCCCGAGGTAGCTACAGCCGGCTCCGTACCAGAGCTAAGAGCTGGGTTCTCGCCATAGTGCATATGTGCATCGTATCCTCCCCCGTAGAGGCCCATATCGTGATGGGCATAATCACTATCACTACTTGAGTCGATCTGAGTCGTTGGAACAGCGAGTGAAGGCATCCGGGTCGGGAGAGTTCCAAAATTACCCGTCGCTGAAGAAGTTGTGTCCCGCCGAGAATTGAACATGGCATCTTCCTCTTCCGCCATTCGAAGTGCTGCCAATCCGGCTTCGGCTTCGGCGTCGTCGTCGTCACTATATGCATCATAATTAATATATCCTCCAGTCCCGGTTGAGCTAATGTTTCCATGGCCGTTCGTATGGGTCTGATGTTCGTCTGGAGATAAAAGCGGGCGAGGGGAAGTGGAGAGTGGGGGAGGGCGGTCAACCCCAGTCTCCTGGGAGGACTGCGGATTGGGGTAGCTTGTCTGAGAGCTTTGTCGTGTGGAAGCCGGCCGGCCCTCCATCACCGCTACTTCCACTTCCTTCATCAGGTCTTCATAACTCGCGTCAGCGCCCACACGTCCATTCCGTCGATCTGAAGTTGGTCCAGTAGGCTGTTCTGACTCTGCCGGAGGTCCTGGTAACGGTCTCGACTGAGGATGCCGGCTTAAAGTGTCAGTCCTCCTAGGCGAGGATTGGGGGGCCTGATGCAGCGGAGGTGTTGGAATAGAATTGCCTGAGGAAGGCTGTGGCGGAATCGATGCTCCAGCTTGGTGAACAGCGGCTGAATGGCCATCGGTAGAGCTATGTATAGGCTGGGATGCTGGTTCCAGTGGGGTTGTGCCGTGCGGGGGCGGATGAGGCAAGGATGACGAATGATACGTCGCCTGGGGGTAGTGACTTCCAGTACCAGTTTGGGCAGACATGTCGGCCCCATATGGATCGAGGCTGTGACTGGGTTGGCTCGGCTGCTGTGGCGATGTGAAGGCCGACTGGGGAGGTGGGGGGGATACTGTTGAGGCCTGGGGGACATTCGACGGGTATCTGTATGCGGGCTGAGGGGAGGAGTCGGAGTATTGGGGCGTATACGAATTGTATGTGTTCTCATGCCCTCGCTGAGGGGGGGCCGGCGGGATATGTTGTTGCGTCTGCGGAAACTGGTATTGCGGTTGTGGAGAGTAGCCATACGACTGGGTTGGTGTGGTGGACGGCCATGATGGGTTGGGGGAGGTTTGGTAGGAGGTTGTAGGCGGGGACTGGTATGCAGCAGGATTGTAATGCTGATATGCCTGGCTGTTGTATTGCGTGCCGGGAGCACCAGCACTTGCAAACGACTGGGGGTTGTATCCTGGCTGTAAATGTGGAGGCGGGGCAGGCTGGGCAAACTGCTGGGGGTTATAGGCAGGTTGATTCGGGGAAGTTGACGCTGGAGGCTGATACTGGTGTTGATATCCAGACATGGCGGAGGAGCCGTGTGAAGAAGTTTGGCTGACCGCGGAATGCTGCGAACTGCTCACGGAAAACTGAGAGTGTCTTGATCCCAAGTTATTTGCAGTATTTCCATTTATGCTGCCATTTGAATAACCTGGATATCCACCACCATGTCCTGCTTGGCCCGTGTACCCCGGGTTTGCGCCCGGTCGATCAGGGTCGGAAGGACGACCGTCATCAAAGTAGTTCTGATCATCGCCGGCATCGAAGCTAGGCCGTCGCAATGGGGCCTGAGATTGCTGCCCGGGCAGTTGGGAGGGATTCGTATACCGCGCAGGATACTGTAGGGGTTGCGATTGTGGGGGTTGGTGAGGCTGCGGTGCGGGAGTGGCAGGGAGGCCATAGAACCGTTGTTGCTGGCCGTTCTGTTGGTATGCCATCTTCTCGAAGGGGCAGCAGGGTTAACCCGCTCTCACAAAGGTCGAGAGCCGGATCCCAATTAGAGAATACTGAGACACAGGGCCTGGTTGGATGGGTGCTGGGTCTGTGAACATGTGGGATGATAGGCAGGGTGGAACGAGTGTGAGAGACTCCCAGAGTGTCAACACAGCATGTACGGAGTACACAGGTAGGGCGGCGCAGAACTGCGGCAGAGCAGCCGTGACAGGCGTAAAGAGGGGTGTGCAGACGAAGACCCGAAGAAAAGAGTGACACTCGCCGCCAGGAAGGGAGGCTGGAGGGTGAGGTGAGCGAGAGGATGAAGTCGGTGGTGAGCGAACCCACACGTTGACGAGGCGTTTTCCAAGCGGTGCGGGCGGAGCAACCTCGCCAGCAGAGCCTCAACTGACGACAGCCACAACCCTCCGCAACTCGCAACTCGCGGCTCGACAAAACCACCCGGATAGCTCTGGATTCGGGCAGACGGTTATTTACCTGACCTGGCTGACCATGCTTTTTGACGTCTGGGAAAAGTTGTCAACGATTAGCCAACTGTTCGTTTCGCGTCGAGGGCAATCTTACTTTTCCGCAGGATCCAGCGCTACTCAATCCCTACGGGCCACTTCGGGCTAAATTAATAACAACAGCCTTACAGCGCAAAAAGCAATGGTTTTTTATATATGGCCACGCCCCGCCCTTTCTCACTGGCACACAAGCGACGCCTGTTCTACAATTACAAAGCTGATGGCTCCCGGCGGAGGGGGGAAACCCCCCGAAACAGGAGTTCTACCTCTGTTCCATGTCATAACAGCTGGCTAGGGATCATGTCAGCTTAACCCAGCAAACCTGAGGAGACCAAGTCCTCACGGCCCTCTACCTCATCCGCCTCGCAGTGGGGGAGGATGAGTTGTTGACGGCTGACGCAGTGATAACCGGACACCCCGAGAGTCAAACTCGCCCTGGATTGTGTTAGGCAGAGTTGAACCCAAGGGCCCAATATCAGTAATAAATGGACATAGATTTATTGTTGTTGGGCAATAGTTGCCCAGCAAAGAGCACAACAACTTTGGTTAACAGCTTGTTGTTGCTTTGTTTTTGCAACGCAATGCAACGGCGATAAACCCGCGCTAAAAACAACAACAGCACGGTATCTCCACGGGCCTTGGCATCTTTCAGCTTGAAATAACCTCCTTCCGCTGCTATTATTACGGAGTCTGCGGATGTCCTGAAGTTCGCCCAAAAGGGCAGCCTTTGCCCACGACCCGAAACATCTATCCTAGGGACTCGATACAGAACAGATTATTGCTGGTGAAAGAACAAGAGCTCAAAATGCAGACACCCCGCAGCCAGGGTCACAAAACCTCATCAGAATTCGCGCCAATGTTGCCCTTGGTTTAAGCCTGCAGCTTGCAAGAGCCAGGATGATGATACTATGGGATTTTGATCGGAAATTTACCCAGTCAGCATGTAAGTAATAACTACGCTGTGTACGACCCGCGTATTGCAATCCTCTCGCCCAGATCCTATCAAAAAGATCATCTTATACTCCGTAGTTTCCTCGCCCATCTCTGCTCCTGCTCGCTTCGCCGAAACAGCACACAGGTTTCTATTTCGAAGAATTTAGCCATGCGTGGGAAGGCTTGTCGACGTAGATTCAGAAACTCCTGTCCAGCCTATGGTCAATTCTCCCCACTCTGGTAATTTCGGATCACAATACCGTTGTTAGAATGGTCGAAATGGAAAACTTCATGTTAGGGCAAGAACTGGTCAGTATTCAAGGTGGGGGGAATTGCTCCTGTGAGACAGAAGAGTGGCAGGCGTAGGGAATCCCAAATACAGGAAGATGGTCGGCAAAAAGAAGATGGGTAAAAAAAAGAAATCTCCCTAACTGGGAATCGAACCCAGGGCTGTCGTGATGCATATGATCAGGAATTGATCACGTGAAAGACGACGATGTTAGCCACTACACCATTAGGGACGGCTTGGTGGACATTGGTCTCCCCCTGTTCCTCAAGTTCTAAGGACCAGGTGAAGCAGAGAGCCCTTCATCGAACAGCTCCTCCGAATCGTCTTCAAGAAATTTGTGGGTGAGTGTGTCCCTTTTTTTCTCGTATGAATTAGCGTTAAATAGTGTTTCGATAGGGCGCTATGCAGAGCCCAATGTAGGTACTGGTTAACTACTTCAGCATCATAATACGGGAATGATAATTGACCATAAAAAACATATATTTATCAACTAACTACCCTCAGTGCCCCTGACAGAAAACTGCTCACATACCCAGGTACGCGAAAATGAGCACACATGATACTAGGATAAAACCCACGACACAAATATCCTCCCCCTTACCTTGACCATATGCATATCTACGGGTAACTGCATTTACCCACCCAGCATTCATTCACCACACCGCTGACCGACTCGAAAAACGACATCAGCGTCATGAGATATTGTAGGTATGTATATCTAGCACGTTCCCGAACTCGACATGCCCAATTACATTTCCAGGGTTCGTGCATAGTGCTCTGCAACTCCCTGAAGACATGCAAGGTCCAGCGGTGAAAAAGACAAAGAACCCCAAGATCTAACTAGGGGGGTGAGCAATGATTGGCCCTGCATAATTTGCTCTGACATAACCTCTTGCCGAGTCTTGCATCCAAAGCCATGTATGCAAACCGGTTGTGAACGGGTCTTGGGCTTTTTTATTATATATTTTCACAAGGCCCGCCTAGTGAGTGCTGCTCGCGGATTTATAACTACATAGATTGTTTTGCTATTGATGATATTAAATAGATAGAGAAGCATGGAAAAGATTTAGTTGATCTCTGAAGCATACGATTTTGGAGCAGAGACGTAGAAAATGTAGATAAGAATAAACTTACCCAATATACGGCGCTGTCACAGCAGTTTGTCAGGGGTCTATGTTTGCCATGTCGGTATTTCAAGGACAACCACACCCTCATGCGGTCGATTTGACACTAGAAAAGCAGGTGAAGTTAGTACTGTCGTCGCCAAACAGGGAGGGAAAAAGGGGCGGGAAACTAGACAGCTAGTTATTCAAAAGTTCCGGCGGTGAAAACATTTTGATTCAGTCTATGGGTACCTGCTGTTCTGTTGCTGTGAAGAACGCCATCCATGGATCAGTATTGATAAGCACGTGGATACGGTGACGGGAGAATCCAAAGAATTGGCCGCGGTGGATATGGTGAGATCTTGCTGATTAGCTCGTCAAGCTCTATATCACCCGAACCATGGGTTGCAGGTACAGATACAGCACATTAAGTTGTAGCGAGACCAAGTAGCCTGACGTGAGAGAATATCTGGGTAGATAACCGGTAGTTCAGTCGCAATATCAATTGCCAATGTATGATCATAGACGTCAACGCGGAGGAGTGAAGATAGTCAGCTTTCTTCCCACGGCGTTGGATGTCGGTGACAGAAGCCATTGGCAAAAATCTACATATATCGTCTCCGGAGCCCGTAACGGGGCTAATACCCCAAGTCCTGAAGCACCCTAGACATTCGTGGCCCAGATACACACGAAACCGAAAACACATGCGAATATCCATCTCCTGCCTGAATATATCCTTTAAAAATACCCAGCCATGAAGTATCTACTAGCTGTGTTCTCCCTCTTCGCACCCACCGTGCTTGCTTTTCCTGTACCTGGCCGTGCAAATGTGTGTTACCCTATGGATTTCCCAACAGGGACCACAAGACCACATCGAATTGTCGACTTGGATTTAGCCTGCTGATATCAGAGTCTTTCAGATGGCTGCCGCGCCACCCCCGCCTATTTTGCCTACCATGCTTGCACGTCAAAACGGGCACCAATCAAACTCTCCTCCGGAGGGTAATACTGTCGAGCGAAGGGTGCAATTGCGAGCGGTCGCCGGGGTTGATGCCGATGGCTTAGTTACAATCACACATACAAGCACAGTCTTCATCCCTGCCCCGACCTCCGAGCCAACGGCGGCTTAACCCCGTTTGCCCCTTTGACCAGCAAAAATCTGCCGCTCCAAGACACCAATTCAAGATATGGAGACAATGGTGAAGGGGAACAAATAAAAGGGAGGGCGGTATATGGCGGTATATGCTGTTTATGATGATGGGCTGCCGACGACCACGTTTACCAATATTCCGGTCTTGAGTGCCACGACGACACGAGCAATGGAAAAAGGGGGGGAAAGGGGGCTCGAGCACTAAGGATGAGAGTAGGGTTGTGGTTGTGATGGGAAAATAAAAACACCGATGCTTGATGATATCCCTGATATTAGGTGCTAGGGGTTTGCATGGATTTATTAGCTTGCAGTCCATATAACCATGCTCGATGAGAGCCTCATTGTTTCCCCGCGAGGCTCTTTGTTTGTTGTTTGAAATAAAATGAGATACTGCAGGTTGCACAGAGTTAGTTAGCCCCTGAATGTACAGTAAGCAATTTTACTTAGCTGACAAGTGATATTAAAGTATCATGGTGGGAATTCTTAAATGAAAGTACAAGATCTGTTGTGCTGCAATTCCTGCCTCAATTGGCCTGGGAACCTGCCTACCTTTGAATAGACACTGGAGGTGGTGAGTAATGCTGGAGGGTGTTCAGTCTTCCGTGCATTGGAGCTCAAGATATAGGGTAAAATCAAGGCCAATGTCTTGGTATCGCAATATTTGAAGACGACTTTCTTCGATAACTCAGTGGGAGAATATCAGTGTACGGGCGGGAAGGCAGCAGGCTATAATGCTGTCCCAAATCCAAAATTGGAACAATGAAAAAAAAAAGGGAGCAGAAGAAGAAGCAAGCACCTCTCAAAGAAAATATAAGTTAGTAAGGGCCATGTATGATACTTGAAAGCAGCAAGAAAACGAAGACAGAAAAAAAAAGAACATTGGAAAATATGTTTGGCCTTGGGTTGGGCCAGGGACACTCTGAAGTCGAGTACGGCCAATAGAAACTTTCAATAGAAACATAGACCTTCAACACCCTCATAAGCTGGCGTAGCAGCTGCACCTGATTATGGGTCTTCTATCCTATGTCTAGGGAGACCTTTATTAAAATGCGTTGATGAAACCGGTTTCCTGTGTTATTAAAAGCATGTAGTAAGAGATATGCCAATTAATACGCAAGAGGATCTGTAGAACCTGGCATTCGCATAAATTAGTATCTTCCTGTCCAAGCTCAATAACCATTGGAGAAAATTCAAACTAAAAGTGCGGCTATGATAGTAGTAATGGGCTTTTCAAAAGATGAAGCCAATGCCATATCAATTTTTGTGGTTATCTCGGCGCTAATGCCGTCCTAAATATAGGTTGGTTGAATTAGCGAGAAAGTTTAGCGTGATCATCCAAGCCGTCCCTAATGGTGTAGTGGCTAACATCGTCGTCTTTCACGTGATCCACTCGATCATATGCATCACGACAGCCCTGGGTTCGATTCCCAGTTAGGGAGTTTTCTTATCTTTTCTTTTTATTTTTTTTCAGGGTCGCATTCATTCCTTACTTTTTTTCAACACCAGAGTGATTGACCTATGGTTCATTCATTTGCTATATACTCCGCAAGAATGGACTGAGGTATCTCGCTACCAACATAATCCAGATCGGATACTACCCCTATGACAGAGGGGCTTCTCACCCTTCAATTATCTGTCCTTGCTACGCCTCCATCTACAGGTCTATTCAGCTGCGCCAGAGATATTCCCTGCTCCTCGAACGCTTTATCCCATGGAAAAGATGATCTTATCGCATGATTCTGGCTACATGTAGTCTCGAAACGGACTTTCTTCAACACCTCGAGCATGGCTGCCATTGGTTGGTAGCTTGTTACTGGTTACACAGTTGGCTGATGGGCCGTGGCATTGCTTATCATTAAGCCCAATATTGAGCCAGGAAGAATCCAAACAGAGACAGCTGCGTTGTCCAAGTCTGATTGACCTATTTTCCAGCCTCATGATCCTCAATGATCCAGCGAGCATCAGAACCTCAAAGATTCTCAACGTCGCAGATTATTTGCTGGCTTGGACGCCACAAAAATGATCTTGGCCTTATATAGTTGATTCGACTGACTCCAAGCTGGCGATCACTGAACTCCTGTTTTTGAGGATGCGATTGAAAGCCCGACAAGTCAATCAGAGGCTGGCGGAGCAGCGGAAAAAGCATAGTGCATTTCCTCCCGCTTTTGTTGTGGGGTATTTCAAGAAGCACAGTCCCTCGTCTGGGGGAAAATGATGGCTACGTCCAATTTGAATACCAGCCTTACCAAAGAAGAGCGTTCGAATAAATATACGCTATCTGGACAATGTTGTCATTCAAACTCTTCACTCTAGCGAGCTTTCTCTGGCCGCTAGCTGTCGTCTTCGCTGTCGAGCCAGCGGCGGTATACGATGGTGGATTTGGAGACAAGGGGGATATCCTTCTCAAAATTGGCAATGGGGGTGCTGGCCAAAGTGGGCTGGTGAAGGGTTAGTAACTGTGCCGTCTATATACCTACTTTCCTTCAAATTCATTGGCTGCCTTGACTGCCATTGGCCTGAAATGTTCCAATCAGGAATCTAATTACTAACCAGTTGTTCCTGACAGAGCTCGCCGATGCCTTTATCAAGCAGAGCGTTAAAGGCGGAGCCGACAAGTTCAGAGTCGCATGGTACAAGAGCGATACAACGGAATCGATCAATTACCTCAAGGATGGCACTGTCGACGTTGCCATTACATATAGTCCTGTTGCGGAGAAGATTGCCATTGACCAGGGCATTGCCCAGAAACCCAGCTACTACATCTTCCGTGATCACTTCCTCCTCGTCGGCCCGCCCTCCAATCCCGCAAATATTTCCAAGGAATCCGATATCACCACAATATTCTCCACGTTGTATGCCGCCGGCGAAGCTGCTAATACCGACCCACCAGTGAGATTCCTCAGCCGGTACGATAAATCTGCCACGAATATTAAGGATTCAGAGCTTTTTATTCAGGTCGGACAGGTAAACCTCCTATTT